AGCTCAGATTCTATATAGTGATTTCAAGGACCTCAAGGATAGACTGGTGCATGCTGATACCTCCATCATCTCCTCTGCAACCCTCATCGATGCCCAGGGGAATTTTCCATGTAACAGTTGTATTTCCTGCTCTCTTTACATGAAATGTAAATTTTTTACATATCCATACACTTCCAGAACTGACAAAATTAAGCAACTGATTACGTGTAAAACTACATATATTATGTATATAATAATGTGTCCATGTCCTTTGTTGTACATAGGCAAAACAAAACATGTGTTACGTATGAGAATTATTGAACATATGAGTGCGATTAGGAGACAAGATCATACAGCTCCTATTTTTTGACATTTTGAATTAGCTAAACATTCTTTTTCAGATTTCAAGTTCCTGGGCATTGAGAAGGTTCTTCCTCATAGGAGCGGGGGAGACTGAAACAAGAAATTATTGCAAAGAGAGTTTTTTGGATTTTTGAGCTTAACTCTTTAACCCCTAATGGCTTGAATGAAGAGATGGATTTTTTTTCTTATATTTTGTGGAGTGGTTTCATGTTTTTGTGACGTATCTACATTTTCTGGAACTGAGCTCTGCAACTTTAGGAGTTCCTCTTCATTAAGCTCAGCTGGTCTCAATCATCAATTATGTGTCGATAAAAGGGATGAACATTTGCTAGGTGAGCACTGAAAAAAGCTATGAGCTGAAACGTTTGCTCACTGGTCTGTTTTATTCACTGATCTTTGCACCTTCTTCACTATGGAAGTTTAAAACAATAAATATATATTTTGATAAGACCTCAGTGGTCCGGTCTTGTTCAGTGTGCGGACAGCCGCTGCCTTGGACAGAGAATTTTTTTCCGGCACACTGATAAATTAGTATGGTGTTTGTCTGCCACCTAGAGGTAATTAAATGCCACAGAAGGTGATAAGTCAGAAATAGTGACTAACCTATTTTTAACCTTATTGATGTTTGTGGGTCAGTTTCTTCTGACCCTTCTTACCACCTACTCACCCATCAACAAATTAGAGATTAACTTATTTTATTGTATTTTATTGTCCATAATGATCTTATTTACTTTTCAATAGGACATTTGTTTTCATTACAAAAAAAAAAAACATTTTAGAGCATTTTATGGGTTTTAATTGCTATTATGAATGTAGGAGCCATATATTGTATTTGACTATCTCTTTGTAGCATGTGTGTACTTCACATAAATTTTATTTGTGAGCATGAACATTTCAAATCTTTAGAAAGTGGCACTTGTTTATTACAGAAGAGCATTAGTGAATGTATGGAATGAGTGATGGATCCACATGGAAGTGATGTATTCATTCTGCACATGAATGACAGTGTAACATTATATATATATATATATATATATATATAAACATTTGTAGTAAGTTGTGCTGGTCTTACTGTCTTTCTTGTAAGGACAAGCCTGGCACCTCCTTTGCATACTTCCCCTTGCTGCAACATCCAGTGGAGCAGGCCCAGATTCCTCCATTTGAATGGTCCTCACAACGGTTGCTTCTTAAGGAATATTCTCCTCCTGTGAAGCTTCCCACTGGTCCATCCTGGACCTATCTCAGTCCAAATCACAAAGGCCTGCTGACACATCGATGATATTGTAGAAGACTAAAGGCCAGCAGGCTGTCATCCTCTTGCAACTATACATTCCTTTTTGACTCAATACCACTGGACACTGCACTGTACAATGCTGTATTAGACACTTTCAATTTATAAGACACTTTTTTGCTGCTACGTTGCTGCCAACATTGCTGCTACTTACTAGTCTACAGCCCGTCATTGCAATAGCTTTCCCACACAACACTGTTCTGTTGCCACTGCACTGTGTATCTATTGTCCTGTGTATTCACTGTTCTGTGCATTTTGTTTTGTATACTTATTGTCTTGCACTCGTCTCACACTGTTGTGTTATATTCGCACCTTATGCAGTCTTGTGTTCTGTACTACTATGCTGTTATGTGTTGCACCATGATCCTGAAGAAAAGATATTTCATTCTGATGTATACCAGCTATATAGAGGAATGACAATAAAGGCACACTTGACCACTTGATTTCCTGTTACGTTGCTGAGGTTGTCCTCCCTTGGTGCAGTTGTAGTCCTGGACAATGGATGGCTTCCTCTCCTCCCAGCTGCTGACTGCTGCATCTTTATGCAGTGTACTCATCACCACTACTGTGGTAAATTTTCTTTTGAGCAGTTCTCACATTCCATATTTTTTTCAGGGGCTCCACTAGCTGGCTTAGCCATGTATATCTGCATATTCTAGGCATAACACATGATGCATCACATGCAACCTATATTTTCAGTCCGTGTAGAGTAGTAGAGTAGAGTAGAGAGTACTTTATTGATCCCCAAGGGGAAATCTGGTATGTATTGCCTGAAGGAACAACGACCTCTGAACAGAGCCAGTCATTCATCAACAGTGACTTCAGGCCCAGGACTGTAAAAGCATGGCAAGAGCTCCACCCATCTGACTCACATACGAATGTGTGTGTGTCAAACCTTACAAATCGTAATAAACTTTATCTGCACTTTGATTCCACACTCTGCTGCATTCTCAATTGCCTTTATGAACTACAGGGATTAATGTGACCCTGAACAGTATATTTGTACCCAAATGGTGTAGATAAACATCAAATTAGTCATCTTCATTTTAACACATTCATATAATCAGTATTTTCAAAGGAAGTTATCAAGTTTCATGAAAAATAATGATAAAGAGTAATGGTATTTCAGAGACATTGAAAAGTTATTAACTGTAGACTATAGGCTGTAGGCTCAGTGCTCCCAGTTGTAGGCTACGGTTTTAATAAGGATGATAAGAAGAAGAAGAAATGTATGTTGTTCCTAATACATGTTTTTTTATAAAAAACTTATTTAAGGATTCGAAACAGCTTGGTGTAATACATCAGTTGCTGTTACTTAGCAACCAGTGATCATATATATATATATATATATATATATATATATATATATATATATATATATTTTTTTTTTTTTAATTAAAGTTATCAGATATAACAGCATGACCAGAATGCTTTTCATCCAATCAGGGTTGTAACTACTAACTAACTAACTCATCCAATTGCATGGTTGTAACTAATTGTTGGATAAAATTGGTAGAAGGCCTTTACACTCTCTAAACACGCTTGAAGTAACATGAGTAACCTTTTCACAGTTTATGCTCCTAAATCCATTCATTTTCCAGTAATTATTAAGTGTTTCCACAGTGGAAGCTTGGTAGCCTGCCCCAGGGAATAATGTCGTTTTTCTAACAGCTGACTGATCCAAAAACTGTGATCTAGAATTTATGTCCCAGAGGATAGCTGTAATACATTAACATGGCAAAAAAAAGAAAAAGAAAAAAAAACAGTGCTGTGAGACAGAAGGTTTAATATTATTTCTAGAATAACCAACACGCTATTAAAACTACCAGTTAATCCCTATAACTGAAATTGACACTATCACATATTACCCCACATTATCACAACCACATTGTGATAATGAGCCCATCATATTGATTTGGGTGCTTTATTATTATTATTATTATTATTATTATTATTATCCATTATCTGTACCACTTATCCTACACAGGGTCATGGGGAGCCTGGAGCCTATCCCAGGGGACTCGGGGCACAGGGCTGAGGGGACACCCTGGATGGGGTGCCAATTCATCGCTGGGCACAATTACACACACACTCACTCACTACGGATCAGCCTGCAAGGCATGTCTTTGGACTGGGGGACGAAACCAGAGTACCTGGAGGAAGCCCCCAAGCACGGGGAGAACATCCAAACTCCACACACGCAGGTCGGAGGCAGGAATTGAACCCCCAACCCTGGAGGGGTTGTTATTATTAATTATTATTATTATTATTATTATTATTATTATTATTATTATGGTGGTGGTGGTGTGGCTGTGTGTGGGTGTGTGTTAATTGTTCTTAAAACTTTGAATGAAATAAAGCTCTTTTTCCAAAGCTGTGTAAATGGAGTAATGGAGAAATGTTTATAATGGAAAAAACATACAACCAGACTAGGCACATTTTTTCCGTCAGTCCGTCAATCAAGGATTACGGCTCCACCCCTTTAGCACAGTTCTGACACGCTGGCAGGCTGCGAGCCAATCAAAACGCTGGCCCGTGATGTGGGCGGACCCGTGACGTCTCTGAATATGTGATGAGAAGTGGTAAGGTTGGGCTCATGCCACGCCTCTGCGTGAAGAATATCACAGTCAGACTGAGACAAGTTCTAGGGGTACGTACACACTGCAATCTTTAGCACATTTTACAGCCGGACTACATGCGGAAATGGCGTACCACAACCAGTACAGACCTCCTCACTACAACAGCGCGCCGCCTGATCAGGCTTTTCTGTGGAATATCTTTCAGAGGTAAGTGAAAGCACAGCCAGAGATTCCGCATTGGGAAACGTAGCTGAACTGCTGCGGCGGCTGGCAGCTTGCTAAGTTGTTGTGAACTAGTTAGTTATGTTTACGGCGGAATAAACGACTAAATGCTTTAGGAAACTTTTAAGCTGTGTTCCGTGTGTCCTTAAATATGTATAAAAATATATATACGCCCGTAATATTCTGAAATTTTGTGTACAAAAGGAGAAGTTAGAGAGAGAAAGGTTTTTACCCGTCATTTGATATAACTGTAGTCGTTTCCTGTTTAGGTGCCACATCTGGATTCACTCCGTGCACAGCACTGATAGTTTTTACAGACAGCCTGAGACACTTGTCCATTTAAACTGCGCTTTATTTGAGTTATAAACGCAATTTTATTGACGCACATTTATTTACTAGCTAGCCAGCTATTCTGTGAATTCCAGGAAGCAGGAACAGGGTGGCGCTTATACAGAACATATGATTTAACCTGAGAGGAAGAGGGCTCCCACTAGACCAGACAAGTCCTCGGCTATCCTGTTGGATCCAAATGTCCCTGTAAATCCAGTTTCCAGGGTGTTGTGTCTTCCAGGGTGGCTTAGTGGTTAGCGCATTTGCCTCGTACCTCCAAGGCTGGGGTTCGATTCCTGCCTCTACCCTGTATGCATGGAGTCTGCATGGTCTCCCTCTGCTTCAGGGACATGTGTTGTAGACTGGCATTTCCAAATTGTCTGTGGTGTGTGCAATTGTACCCCGTGATAGGCTCCGCTGTGACCCTGTATAGAATAAGCAGGATGGATGGGTGTTCCTTGTGGGCAAATAAAACTCTGTTCCAGCTATTTGACTGCCCTTTTTTTTGTCTTTAGGTTTTTCCTTTCCTTAAACAGTAGTTGCTGTTGTAGTTGTTTGTGTGCACAGCTTGTTGCTAGGAAATGTGTGACTCAGTGGAGAATTTCTAACCACAGTGAGTTTTTGTTAATAGCAGAGCCAAATTGTAATCCACTGATCATAGGATGCATGTTGTCTCCTCTCAGAATATAAAAAGAAAATGTATAGCATCTTGCAACATATTTGCAACTATTATTCACCAAGCTAAATTGTTTCAGTGTTTGTTGAAGTGCTGGGAAATAGAAAAGCTGAAAAAGGTTCAACGTGGAGCATGTAAAAGGCCTTTTCATCAAAGCGAAAACGCTGTTGACTCTCTTTGTGTAGGAAAACCATTTCTAAGTCAGTGCTGAAAATACCACAAATTAACATCTGTATAGGGGTCAGTAGAATACAATTGACTGATATCTAAAGACAGATGGTGATGAATTAATAATTTAGAGTATGAGCATACATTGTATTTTCTGCATTCATGTTTTAATATAACACATCCAGATTAATCATTTGAGTGAGTAATTATACCAGTAAACTATTAGCTGTCCAATAAAATCTAAATTGTTGTGGCAATGGCACATTTTGCCGAATGAATGTTTACAAGTAAACCATTGATTTAAAATGTTGATTTCTTCCATAGGGTGGATAAAGACAGGAGTGGATCAATCTCAGATACGGAGCTTCAGCAAGCTCTATCAAATGGTATGTAGGTTTCAATACTCATTATTCCTATTGATCTAACACACCGTTAGTCAATCACAAAATGTCCACATGAAAATCTAAGAAGGTAGTTTCCCATTGCACAAGACTGTTTCAGAATCTGGGCAGTTACATGAAAAAGTCAGCCTTACCTTGGAGAAATAAAGTTATTTATCACTTCATTCTCACTTCAGAATGTGATATTCATAATGCAAAAATGTCACATCTCTTTTAAACTGGAATGTGCTTATATGTGAAGCCCTCACATTTTCCTCATTCGGTTACATTATAACCTTGCTCTAAAATATCCATAACAGTCCATAAATTCATATGATAAATCTTTTCACAAAGCTTTGTAAAATTATTAAAAATGGGAAAAAAAGATACTTCTTACTGAGTAGTTTGTTGAAGCACCATTGAGAGCGATTACAGGCTTAAGTCTTCTTGGATATGAAGCTACAAGCTTTCGCTGTACCATTATTTTCAGGCGTCTCCAGAGATATTCAATCAGGTTCGAGTCCGGTGTCAGGCTGGGCCCTTCAAGGACATTTATAAACCTGCCCTGAAGCCACTCTTGCATTGTCTTGGCTGTGTTTTTGGTCATTGTCATACTGAAAGGTGAATCTTTGTCCCAGTCTGTGGTTCTGTGCACTCTCAGTACATTTATAAGTTCATCTGTCCCTCAATCTTAGATATCCTGACTATAGCCCTCTTCCCCTGTTTCCTGAGTTTGGTTGGGCTCCAGCTTTAGAAAGACTCTTGGTTGTTCGGAAATTCTTCCATTTCTTCCATTGAACATCCGTTGAACGCCATTGTGTTCTTTAGGCTCAGTTTTGACTGCCATACCAAACAGTCTGAATACTTATGAAAGTAGTTACTGTAGGTAAATATTGATTGTAGTGCTTGGGATTTGCTCAGGTGTTATGAGGAGAGACCATTTGGTGCTTTATAGATAGAATTTTATAATCATTGCATCATTTATCTGGGAGCCAATGTAGTGTGGATAAACTAGGGGTAATATTGTTGGACGTTTTGGCAGTGCATTTGGCATGATCTAATCTTATGTTAATTAGATTACTAGAACAAACTTTACAAATACTGACACTGATTGATTTAGCGATTTTTCTTTTGAATTAATCAGTACCGAGTACTCTGTGAAGTTTAATTCAAGTTTAAGTATGTGTACATCTCTCTGAGTCCTTGACTATCTTTCTGATAGCAGCTTTAGTAAAAATCCCCCCTCCAAAAAAAAGATTGGCATCTCATTTTTGATGTGGATAAAATAAATTTAAATGTGGACTTGTGTCAATCCCTAAAAGAGAATTCCCTCTACGAGAAGTTTACAAACGGATCATATGTATGAAAAAATCTCACCTGTGGCATGTTGATTAATCACTGATGATCATTAAATATTGTATATGAGTTGAACAAGCTATCAACTCAAACTAGAGACACCATGCCAAAGGTTTACCACGATGGTGTTATATGACTACAGAAACTGCATAACTGGCTACAGAATGGCTACAGATATCTTACCACTAAAAATGAGATGTTTTGCCAATTTTGACACATATCAGATATGTTCCTGCTAAAAATTTATATAGCCTATAAAATTCCATCTATGCAGTGCCTCACCAGAATGAGCCTAAAACAATACATTGCTCTTCCTGATTTCTTCATGCCATTTTACAGCCTTAAAATGTTTGATGTACCTAAACAGAATGGTAAAACACCACTGTTGTTCAGCTTTGGGTAGAATAAACACATCAAGCCTGTAGGTGCACAGCAGGTATCACCAACTGGAACAGGAGCTGTGAGTAGGAGCAAATGTCTGGAACCAAATGTTTTACAGTTGGTAGTTGCCGCATTGCTTCACTTCTCATTTTCTCATAAGTTAAACTTTGCTCGACTTTATCACATTGCTCCCCCCTCCAGGTTTGTTTTGCCAACTTTGCTTTCTATTACTAAAGATTGCCAGCTCCCATTTAAAATGAATTATTTCTTGTTGCATTGCTGCCTGTGTGAATGCAGGGTTAAATCCACCCAATTATATAACACTGGCATGAATAAAAAGTGACGTGTACAAGCGTACTTGTCCAAAAAAATTCATACTCACATGACTAAGGGCTTTCATTTTAGACTTTTGATATACAGTACTGTGTAAAAGTGATAGTACAGTTTTTTAGGACAATTTATTACTACAAATTTTGTTATGTATGTTTATTTTATGACTTCTGCATTATTGAGTCAGTACAAAAACATTTTGTATGTCCAAATATTACATTTCCAACAAAAATTAAAGAAAATGTTTGTATGTCAGTAAAGAAAGCAAAGTCAGAAAAATGCTTGTATGTCAGTAAAGACAGCAACGTATTACATAACAGACCACTTTTCAGACAAAAAAAAAACATATTGAAGGCTACTGGCAGATTCTCCAAGATGCTCAGTAAATTCAGCCAATTTCCTTATAAAACTGCACAAACTGCCTCTGGCTTGCTCATTAGGGATAAATTCATAAATGTAGAATTTATATATTTCTGTAAAGCTGCTTTGTGGCAATGTCCATTGATGAAAGCACTATATAAATAAAATTGAATTGAATTGAATAAAATTGCACAAATTGTATCAGAGACTACTCAGTTTTTTTAAGAAGCAAAGGGTTATCACACCAAATATTGACTCTGTGAAGTTTATTACTGTTTATTGCTCTTTATAGAATTTTTTTATGTAGAAAAGTTTAAATTCATTATTTTTGAAGGCATCTTTGCTTTGCAGAATTTGTATTAGACTTTTGCACAGTACTGTATAAAATGGTCCTGTGTATAAAAAAAATCCTTCCCACCTGTTTATGAACTTCCCATATTCAATCATCCCATAATGTAAATGTTACATCTATTTAACCTCTTACAACCATTTAGCAGCAAACCCCCTATGATTGATTAGTCATGATTATCACTCCAAAACATGAATAGAAAAAAAAAGAAGTACTTTGGGGCAGACTTGATGGAACGTTTGCAGAGCTATCTTTTAGAGGATTGCAGTTGCCTTGGTCATATTATAAACATTTTTTACAGTTTGTTTCAAGATTTCTGTCAATTTTAATATCAGTATTTAATATGCCAGATTTAAGCTAACTGTTTCGTGACTTTTTTTTACTCAGCTGTTTCTCATGCATGGTATGTGTTACTGTGGTGTTGTTGTCTTTTCCTGCGTGAGCAAAGCAGTGAGAAGGGTCAGTGTGCACTGCATAAAAGCGTCTTTGTTTCTGAGGCCAGGCCAGTCTGCTGCCAGATTCCATCCCTGTTAACCAGCTTATTAGCAGACAGACTAACACCTATGTGTACATGCTCCCAACACACACTACATTTCCTGACCTTACTGTGTCAGTAGAACCCACATGGCTCCAAATGTTGCCAGACCGAACTGATATGTTGTATAATAAATTCTCTATTCTAGTATAATAACCTGCAAATATAATTTCCTTCTCTTCCACCCACTCTTTCTACTCCCTCTGATTTAATTCTTTATTCACTCTTTTTACTCCTCCCTGTCCTCTTTATATACACTCCCTAATTTCTTCTGTCTTTTTCTCCCTCTCATTCACATTTCTCTCATTTGGTCAGTTGTCCCTGAAAGATTTTGACTGTAACATTTCTAGTTGCAGAAGGAATTGCTTAGAAAGTAGTTTGTCACCACTGCAGTCCATCTCACAGCAGAGTGCTTGACTCAGCAGAAAATGAGTGGATTTATTGTGTACTTTGTCCATGTTAGTAATTATATCCAGCACTGCCGGTGGCCAAAGCCCTGCTATGACATGCTCTGTTTCATACTTAAGCCAGTATATATAGAAATAATCTGAGAAATGTAGATAAAATTGTTTTAATTTTACTCATTATAATTTCTTGGAAAATGGTGAAAAAATTGTAATGATCCATACTGTACTTGTCCAATGAATTGCTCTCTTGAATGCATATGTTCTGTCCTTTCCATGTTTTATGTGTGCAGTCTATGTGCATGTGTATGCACTCATTGTCTAGTTTCATTTCATCGCATCATTATACATCGGTAGTCTTTTCCCTTTCCTCT